TGAGAGAGATGGAGGGAGGCATAAGTGTTAGAAGTGGGATGAGTGTAATCGATGGAGAGAGTGAAAGTAGGGGATGAAAGGAGTTTGGATGTGTTATTTTCAAGTTTTTTAAGTGGCACATGTTGACCCCAAAAAATCTGCCAATAGGATCTCGACCTCGCCTTCTCCATCTCCTTTTGTGTGAAATGAATTCACATATATATACAAAATGGACATGGGCTCTGTGAGTTAATAGGCCAAACTAAGTTCCAAGCCCAGTATGCATTCGTTCAATTAAATAGCTCAAGACAAGGTTTCTTGATTTAATAGGCCCAATCAAATTAAATAGTTGATGCCACTTTGGCCAATGTGGGATCTCCTTCGTCACGTGTATGCTACGTAATTTATGGATATAACAATAGTCTCCCAAATCTGAGTTGTATATTTATATACGGGTCAGACTTGAAATATAAATTGTCAAGTAGGCGAGGTCTCACAGATTGCCTCAAAAAAATGAATAGCTCCAATAAGCGAAGACTTACACACCGTCTAGAAAATATGCATCGATCTCAAATAGGTGAGGACTTACGAATTGCCTCGAGAATATAAGTCACTCCAATAAGTGAAAACTTACGAACTGCCTTAGAAAATATTTGTGTTAGCCTGAATAAGTAAGGGCTTATGAATTGCCTCGAAAGATGTTGCATATAATTTGTTGAAATTTTGATAGCATCTCCTCTATAATATTGACTAATGTAATACAATACAATATATCCACTGCACATATACCAAATAAATCTGGGGTCCACTTCCCCTCAAATTACACATGACGATAAAGTAAATGATAAAATATCAAATTTCTCTAAGATATAATATGCAGAGAGTCTATCATGCATCATTGTAAATCATATGCTCGCACAGCTCAGTGTATCACTAGTGCTATAGTAAAGTAGGTAACATATGTTGATAATGAAATGAAAATGATGATAACATGGCATACGTACTCTCTGTAATGAAAATAGTGTGATGACTTTCTAGTAATGACGTGACATGCATAGTTTACAGCAATAATATAATGTATATGCTAGCAGTAACAATATAATGATACTAAAATACTAATATCACAATAGTCTCCCAAGTCAAATAATTATATGTGGGTCGGACTTGAAATATTAGCCATTGTGATGAAGCTGATGCCGAGATGAGATTTAATATATAAGTAGTTGTGATAAGCTGACGCTCTTATATGGGAGTGACGCATCCATATCAAAGACTTCTTCCATGGTGTTTAGTCTAGCCATGAAAATGATTTAATTCTAAATTAGCAAAGCAAAGCTCCTCATGGGAGGCCTCACATTTGTCCTTGTCGGAGCTATTATTTGTTATTTATTTATTATTCATTTTTATTTATTTACCTCTTTGCAAGGGGTTTACTCTTCTATGCAGAGGCTCCCTATATGGTATTTGATCCAACCATGGAAAGATTTGTCTTCGTAGGTAATAAGGTGACGCTTTCCCACGATAATGGAAAGGTCAACGGAATGCGTAAAGGAATGCGCAGTGCTCAACCCCGTTTCATGCTGGAGGAAAGAAAGTCGATATAAACAGCTCCATATTAGTGAATTGCCTCAGACTACTCTTTATATACGCTATTCTTCGAATCTCGAAAGAGGCTACGCCCCTCCTTGCCTAAGAGTTCTTGCCCACCCCTCTCCTTACGAAGCGATAAATAACATTCTTGTATGGTGGATAGTTCATCCATGATAGGGATAATGTAAACTCTTTGAAAATAAGCAGATGTGTCATAGCTGGAGTAGAAGCAAAACTCTCAAAGATAGGTTGTTGTTTGATATGTAATTGTCTGAAACATATGTTCTATGACTTCCTGTCACTTTTTATGTGATGTTATAAAATTTCTATGAATATCCGTGATCACGAATGTTTAATATACAAACTATATTTCATTTATTGTTACATGAAATTGAAACATGATTATGAATGAAATATACAGTGCATATTTAGCATGTGTTCTCATTTACAATTGAAACATAATATAGTTTTATGAATGTGTCCATTTGTGACCTGTTCTGTGATAATACTGACTATCTGTAAACTTTTTAGAGTTAATTGTGACCATATGTGACTTGTTACTTGAATCTGTTATTTAATAACTAAAATTATTTGGTAGTTGGATGTTGGATATGAGAAATGGTCAAGATTGCACATGCTAACTAATAGATACTCTACTCTAACATCAAACATAGTAGAATCTGTTAACGTGGTCACGAAAGCGGCAAAAAATTACCTCATTGAAGCGCTTCTAGAATCATTGAGGCAAAAGGTTCAATCTTGGTTTTACAAAAATAGAGATGAAGCACATGGCACTTTCACAAAGCTTGCAACAAAATATGAGAAGTTGCTAAGGGAAATGAGCAATGATGTGAGAAATCTAAAGGTAAAAACAAGAAAACTATGTTTATTATGTTGATCATAAGTATAACTTTAAATATTTTTTATTTTCAGGTTTCACCTACAAGTCACACTTTGTTTGAAGTAAGGGACAATTCTTCATCATACATAATTGATATAATCTACATACATGTAGTTGTAGAATGTTTCAAGTGGATCAACTTCCCAGTCCACATGCACTGGCAGTAATAGCAACATTGAAGCTGAATGTATATGACTTTTGCTCTGTGTATTACAAGAAATGCATATCTAAATACCTACAAAGAGACTGTCTTTCTTGTAGGTAATAAATCAGAATGGAATTTGTTAGAAGATGTAAGTAATAGAGTTGTTTTTTTTATCCAAACCAAAAGAGAAGTTCTAGACGGCCTATTGAGAAGAGAAAGAAGCCAATGTATGAAAGATCAAAAGTTGTGAAATGTGGAAGATGTGGTGAATTCAGGCACAATTGTCGAACATGCAGGAACTTGGTACTACTTAACCAGAATGACAAAAAACTGAAAATAAAGAAAGATCCAAAGAAATTCAAATAGCTTAGCATAATTTTTTTATACAATGATATTCTTTTTAATTGCAAATTGTTTCATTTTATTGCCGAACGACATATTTTTTGGATTATACGAGTTGACAAATTTATGCATTGAGCTTTCATTATATCTCATGATGTCACTTATTTCTGGAAAAGGGCTGTGTAAACAGACATTGATTGTGACTCTGTTTTTTATGATTGTGACCGTCTGTGACCATTTCAAATATAAAATAAGCTCTATATTTTTTATTTAACTTGTGTGTTCAAACTAAATCTGAATGTCATCTTTCACTATATAGGACCAATTCTACGCTTACTTCTTTTATAAGAGTGTCAATGATAAATGTTAAGCATTTGTGACCTGTTCATATGTAACAAGTTAACCAAAACTATTCGTGACCATCTGTGACTTGCAATTGTATTAGAAAGTACTCATATGTGACCACTTATGACCTATTCAAGTCATGCAAATTAACCAACTGTTGCTATTTGTGACGATCTGTGACCTGCGGTTATATAACACATTACTCACATGTGACTATTTATGACCTATTTAGACTGTACAGTATTCTTATGTGACCTGTTCAGACCCTGCAAATATAGACTTTTACATCCATAAAAAAACTTAGATGATATAAACAAAATCATTCACATAAACACCAGTACTTTTACCTTGTACCAATTGACAAAAATAAATTCAAATTCAATTTTAAAACATATTACAAAGATAACATCTATCGACTACATCATAAAAATATATGTTTGTCTAATTTTGAGCAGCTATCAATCTAATCCATCATGAAAAGAATGCCATCAACAGGAATTCATTCATCTGACTTTGAATTTCCCTTTCCAATCTGCTTCAGTTGTTTATTTTTGAACAACAACGCTGCAATATCAAGTTTGGCATTCTTAGCATCAAATGTCACTGGCATATTGCCAAGATCATTGTGCAACAAATACTGTGCATACTTTATGACAAAAACCCCCACAATCATGCCTGTAATATTTAAAGAAGATAAATTATAAGTAATTACTAAATGTTGATGGAAAATGATAAAACTTGCAATACCCATAGCGAAACTTACCAATTTGTTGTTGAGGTAAACCATGGACAATGTTAACATGTAGTTCCCCAAATTTGTCACCAACACCATCACTAGTTTCCTTCCATAGCCCGACAAATTTTAACAGGTGTGTACAAGTCTTCACAAGCGATAAAACCCCTTCGCGAACCTTGTTGTCCTTGTATGATTTCTTGCTTGAATTATATATGTAAAGGACATGGTTAGTAATATCAAGCTACCCTAACATCCAATGAGTATCAACACAGATTCAACTTCTCTCTAAGCAGTATTAAATGATAACCGTTCACCATTGATGGTTTTGATTAGCTCATCTTTCTTATCAACAATGCTTGGGTCTTGAATAAATTTGGAGTATGTCGACTTGATTGACATATCAAATATGCAATCTGTAGTGGTAGCTTTCATCTTCACACCTTCACCGAACTTGGCAAGTTGTCTTATGTAATGAAAGCATGCATCCAAGTGCTGTAGTAAGAAAGAATATACATAAGTAATACAAACTACTATACATATGTGGAAAATGGTGAAAAAATTGTACCATGTTGTTCAATGATGAATTAGAATCAATCAACACATGCCACCAAGTTTTATAATGAACAGTAACAGTGCCACATATAAATTGAGGACTTATCACATTATCTACATCATTTAACTTTAACCTATGCACACACATATGTCCTCATCAAACAAATGAATAAGATTGCGACCAATTTATTTCTGTTTGTGACCAAAAATGCTGTAGTCACAAAAAGTAATGGAAGGTCACAATTCACTAAAAACACTTAAAATCTACGTTTAATTTACCTATTGTTGGGCTTGTATCCTTTGTCAAACCAATTCTTAAATGAACTCAGATCTGTGCTATCAAATCCCTTCGAATAATTTTGGAACACGACGTTTACAGAGTTAGATTTTGATCTAGTAGTAGCATGACATCAATCGACCTTAACAAAAGGTGACTGCAGAGTTTTTGATGGCTTTTGTGCTCTCTTCACGGGTAGTCCAGATGATGGTGGTGCAGGTGTATCTTCCTAAATAAAAAATATAAAAACAACATTTCTTAAATTAGTGTATGAAAATTAGTCTAAATTTATAATATTAAAACACTAAATATTTCACTAAACTGACATCTTTGGAATGAAGTTCAGTAGATTCCAACACGCGTGCAATAGCATCATCAACCCGATTCTGCACTTCTTTACTGGCAAAAGATATATCATCAGAGCTTTTAGGTGTTTGTGAGGAGCCAACTCCTAGATCAAATGAAGGAGATTCAAGAACATAGTCATCATGAACATGTGAAAACTCAGGTGCCATGTGACCCTTGTCTACTTTTTCAGTTACGTCATCACCTTTTTGCTCAGGTTCTATGTGAACGTTGTCACTTTTTTCAGCAACATCATCACCTTTCGACTCAAGTTCCATGTGACCCTTACCCTTTTTGTCAACATCATCATCATCTTTCGGCACTTGTTCCGTCAAAACATCTTTACCACTCAACTTCTTATGAAGTTCATCCATCACCGAAGATACTATGTCAGATACAGATTCAACAAAATTTTTAAGAGACAACCTAATGTCACTCAAGCTATCTTTCAACACATTGTAACTCTGAATGACCTCATTGAGCTTCAAAGAATTGTTTGATTGACGCATGTTTACATTCATCTTAGATAGTTCTGACTTCATCGACATAAGCTCCTCTTTCAACCCCTTGTTCTCCGCTTGGAGCTTGCTTATTTCCTTATTAATTAACTGTTTCAGTCAACCACATTCTGATAAATTTTGTAGTTAGTGGAATTGTATATAAAATATGTTCTTAAGTGAATATACAATGAAATTACTTACTTCAACGCAAGAGCAATCTGGATGGTAGGCAGCACTATGTTGATCGTGAGACCTAGAATTAGTAGCCCCCATTTGTTTATACAGTGGTGGGTGTACAAAATCATTATCTGAATCTTCAACGTGTACCTTCAACAACAGGGGAGTTGCCTCACTTGTGCCTGCATGATTTTTAGAGATCCTAATGTTCTGAGTTGGTCTTCTAGGCTTTGAGTACTGCACATCTACCGATCATACACAACATACATAAGAATGAATAAAGTCACAAGGCACAAGTCACATGTTTCACGTCACAGGCATAAGAGATATGTGACTTTACAAACAACATATTCATATTTCAGGTCATAATCATGTGAAGAAAGTCACAAATCACGTGAAGAAAGTCACAAATCACATGTTTCATATCACATTCACAAGTCACATAAAAACAAAGAAAGTCACAAAGCACAAGCCACATCATACATAAGGACAAAGAAAGTCACAAGTCACATGTTTCAGCTCATAGTCATAAAAGATATGTCACTTTACAAATTCATACTTCAGGTCACAATCGTATGAAGAAAGTCACAAATCACACGTTTCAATTCACATTCACAAGTCACAAGTCACATAAGAGCAAAGAAAGTCATAAGGCACAAGCCATAACATACATAAGGACAAAGAAAGTCACAAGTTACATGTTTCAGGTCACAGTCATAAAAGATATGTTACTTTACAAACAGGATATTCATACTTTAGGTCACAAATCATATTTCGTATCATAATATATGTGAAGTTCATATTTAGAACCTGTCATATATGGCATTGTCAGCTCAACTTCAGATGGATCAATGTCATTTATCACAACCCGTTTCACATAAGATGAAAAAATATTGTGCATATGTTATTTCAAAATTTATATAATTAACCAAATTATTACATAACAATTTAGTTGTATTTAAAACCTTACATTCTCACTTCCATACACTTTGTCCTCCAACATTGCCACTGAAGGATCTTTGTGCGCAGTCCAATTAATAATGCGTGAATATTTCTTACAAATTCTTGTTGTGACATTCCCCTCAAGTGCAGGTATGCACTCATACAGCCACACCTGGAAAGCCACTAAAAAACCTGTCAATCTATAGTGACTAGTTTGTTTTGATAATCCCTTTCTTAGTAACGATAAGGTGGTCTCAAACGAATATCTACCCCAAGGAAATGTTTCAAGAGTGGCAAAATCGTCTACAAGTGCAAATATGTAATGATCCATCACCTTCGGTATGATGTAGCAAATAAATATGAGGTGATGAGATAGATAATTTCAATCTTAACAATGTCAAGGTCTAGTGCATCATCCAGTGAAATAAAAACCCTCTTGACATCTTCACTTGTAACAACTTTTAAGTCCTTAAAATATGTGTCCTTCACTAAAAACGGGTTTTCATCTAACATCAATCAACCATCGACCCCATTATATCTCAATCCTGTAACCAAACAAAATTCAGCAATTGAAAAACGAATATATCTCCCATTTAGGTTAAACCACATCTCCTGCTTGTTCAATTGCTTGACCTCCCGTAGTAAAACTTGGTGAATCAATTGTGGCTGCACAAGTATCTCCTTACAATGCATGTAGTAAGAGAAACATGTGTTGTCTAGAATTGTCCTCTGGGCAGCATTAAACTTCATCACAAAGTGCATAATAACACTCTGTATTGATGTTGTGGTGATCTTCCCAGAAACCAATTCCTGATTTTATTAAATATTCCCAGTCCCGCACAATCGTAATATCAAAAATGTTACTGTGATCTTCAACACACAAACATTTTTTCTGTAACCAACTCATATATATTCAGATCATAAATAGTTGATCACAAATTTCCAAAATCATAACACAAAGAAGTAAAAAGTCACAACACCTATTTCATTCGCAAACAATCCAGCACTCCTTAGAAAACACATTAGATTAAAATAAATAGTAATTGATCACACACTACAAGAAATAAGTAACAAACCCTTCAAATTACAAAATAACTAAAACAGGTCACAAAATGATATTTTCTACACAAAATACCCACATAAGATCACAAATTACTCAAATAATAGGTCACAAATTTCAGAAATTAGGTCACAAAATCGGAGTTCACCTTTTTCATGGGTTTCCCGCCTAATCATAAATAGTTGGTCACAAATTTTTCAAAAGCATAACACAAAGAAGTAGAAAATCACAATTACGCAACACATAAAATAAGTCACAAAACCTTCAAATTACAAAATATCTAAAGCAGGTCACAAAATGATGTTTCCTACGCAGAATACCCAAATCAGGTCACAAACTACTCTAGTAATAGGTCACAAAATCGGAGTTCACCTTCTTCATGGGCTTCCAGCCAGAGGACGACATTTTAATTCTCTTTGCTGAAGAAGAATCTCCTTCAACATATTTCCTCTTTCCTTTATCCTTCTCCATCACTTTTGCACCAACACTACGAGTTTTTGCCATTTCAAACACAACTATGGTTGAAACTAAAATTTAATAAATGACGATCTATTGTGCGGTTGGTAGCAGTGGAGAAACGGAGTGGGACGTTACTTTACTGTATTAGAGAGAGAGAGAGCAACATCGTTTTTGTATTCTCGGTAGGGAGAAAGAGAGAGAGAGAGCAACGTGGTTTCTGCACTGCACTGTAGAGAGAGAGAGAGGCGGTTTATGGTAAAACGCAATGGATGTGGGTTGGATGATGGGTGATTACGTGCAGAAAGAAGTGATATGAAAATTGTGTAATTCAAATATGGACAGTACAGATTTCATCACGTAAATGAACAATTAGTTTATAATTAACTTATTTTTATTAATTTTAAAATAAATAATTAACACCTGATTTTAGAAAATTAAACCTAATCACTCTAGTTTTGAAATGTAAAGTTTATAAGTATGATTGTGCGTTATTTTTCCTTCTTGAAAAATAGAAGCCCAATTATAATTCTTAGATATAAAGTTCGCAATTAATTGAAGTGGCCTAATAAAAATTAGAATTTTAGGCGGCCTCATTCAAAGAAACATGTGCCAGCCAACTAAAGTATCCAACAAGCCCCAATACTGTAAGATAATTAAAAAAAGGGAGAAAATCACAAATAACCAAGTAAATAAAAATAATTCATTAAATACCACACATCAATTTATATTTTATGGATACTGAATATTATAGAAAATTATACCAAAATTACTATGATTCTATTTTTATAACTGAAGCACATGCAATGGCAAACAACACGCATACCATTAATTGCAATTTCTTATAGTTTACGGTCAATTAAAAACGTATGGAAAATTCAAACTAAACAGAAAAGGGAGAATTGCATGGGATCAATAATATACTTTACAAATGAATGAAAGTGCAAAATTAAATTATGTGCTATAACACGTGTAAAAAAATCGAGATGTCAATCACGAAAACATGTAACATAATGAGTCATATTAATATACATGTTGCAATGTGAAAATGAGCCGGAACTACACTTCGACAAATCATGTGGACTAATTTGAATCAATTCACTCATGGATACAAGTAACCCTTGATATAATAGATAAATAACACAGAAACAGGAATAAGCAATGACTTGAATCAATTCATAAAATAGAAAAAGTATAATGTATATAAGTTGAAAAATGTGATACACATCATGTCGCGTGTCAAGAAATAATTACAATAATAAAAATGAAACGTATTCGTGCATTTAAGCAGGTGACAAGTACATAGAAATATTGGATCGGTGATATACTTTACAAATGAATGAAAGTAAAAAATTGCCTTACATGCTTGACACGTGCAAAAAATCAATATGTCAATTATGAAAACACAAAACATAATGAATCATATGATGATAAATATTGCAAAGAAAAAATGAAAAGAATTACACTACAATAAATGATATGGAATAACTTGAATCAATTCATGTATGGACTCAAGTATCACTTAATATAATAGATGAAATAATACATAAATAAACACTTGAATCAATTCATCTAAGAAAAAAGGTAACATATTATAGGTTTAAAAATGTGATACACGCTATGTCGAGTGTCAAAATAATTACAATGATAAAAACAAAACTTGTTCACGTGTTTAAGCAATTGATATTTTACACAATGGTAATTTATGTTGAGAAATCATATTCCAACACGTGTCATGTAATCAAGCATTAAAACTTGCAAGAATTTAAATTCATAAAGATGTGATAAAACATTAAAATTATGAAATCAATGGGGATGATTTCTGTAATCTTGCATGTTCAAGAACAATCCACAATAATTATAGTCACACTTGCTAGAATATAAGTATCCTCCTTCTCCAGAACAAGTCCTACCTTTTATTTGTCTATATGGAGAGAGAATTGGTAAACAGAAGTTAGCAGACCTTCGGAATAATACAAGCAAGAGTGTGCAGGGATGAAAGGGGAAGAGGCGATGAAAGAAGTAGAATAACGAAAAGGAATACTACAAGATCGAATTTTTGCCTTGAATAAAACAATTGAGCTGAAGACAGAAAATGCAAGAAGAGTTCATGTCATAGATTTTAGGATCCTCTATGGTTTCTAGTGGCCTACCTTTCTTCAATGTATTGTTGAAAGGAAAAATGGTCCTCCACTGCCATAGTATTTCCCCAACCTGGATTCAAACCAACGAAAAGAATTGAAGAGACACGGTATCAGTTGGCTTATTATGTTGAAAATTTTAACATGCCATTTTAGTACAATGCCATACCACAGAGGTGGGAAACCATCAAAATGGAGGATCTTAAGATTGAAGGTGGTGAATTACTCATTGTCAACAATTCAAGAATTTTAAAACAATTCAACCTGTTAATTATTCATGATTCATAATTCAATTCCCACAAAATGGCAAACAAGAACAGAACTAACTAAGAGCAATACATGGGTTCTACATCCAAATTCTTCCATAGAGCCTAAGGCTTTGGTTTGATCGAAACGTATAGGCATCCTCGTCTTTCCCTTTTTTGCTAGAATGTAAGATTACAAGAGAAAATATAGTGTCAACAGCCAACAAAGCAAATTTGTATATATCACTGGAGAAGATTATGTGTGAAATTATGGATTTTGAGAAAGCAAAGATTATTGGAAGAAATTTCATCTGATTTCTTGAGCGCAAATTAGGGAGGAAATGGTGGCAGATAACCACAAA